CATGTCTTACAGTCAATGACACACACACACACACACACACACACACACACACACACACATACACACACGGTTTCAGACAGGAACAGCCATGTCCGCAGGCTTTCATGCTAATGCGATTCGGGGAGAGCAGGCGTATCGTTGCACATTAAGAAAGATATATATAAAGACGTAGTTGCAAATATACACACGCCTTTCATGCGTTACTGTTGCACTTAATAGCATCTCGCTGTCTGTAGTTAATGTGTACTGTGATGCTTAAATGTAAATCCTCTTAATTGAGCAAGAGACCTTCTGTGTGAACACATACACTGCTTTTATAGCTCTCTATACTGTAAATTGCTCAATAAAGCTGTCATGGAGAGCTCGGGAATATTTGTTCTCTGAGGTTCACACGGCACTAGGCCACAAGGTCCGAGGACACAGTGAAGGCCAAACTAGCAGGTCTACTGAAATTTTAATGTGCACAGCAAAACCTCCTATTCCGAATCAGTAACTAAGCCTTGTTTTCATGTAACAATATCTATTTATATCTATTGTGTTTTTACATCCATAAAAAAAATATGTTTACATGATTTTCAGAGAGTATCTTTTTTGCACTCGGTTTAAGCTTAAACGTCACTAAATTTGGCAAGGAAAATGCACATGAAAAATAGGAAATTGTACAAAATCGCACAAATTTCATATATGCATGCATATATATGTATGTATATACAGAAAAAAGAAACTGAAGGGATCCTGTTAAAATATCTAAATATCCTTAAAAAAAATATATATTTACATGATTTTCAGAAAGTATCTTTTTTGCTCTTATTATATTATATTAATATATCAGGGTACAGACAAATGTAATATATGTAATATAATATGTAAATATCTTGTTTTTGGTCTCATTTACTATGGATAAGAATTTACACACTGGCATGAAAATGTCTGTTCAATATATTAATAATACTGCCTCTGAATGCATTGGACCTAAAAAATAGCGGCTTGCAAGCAGGGGATTTCTCACTGAAGGTGTTATCTGAGGGAAATGTTTTTCTCAATAACCTGTGGTATATCGTAACAGGTTTGATTACCAGATAACTACTAATGCTGTACATCTTCTAAAAATGCCACATAACTTTCCTTTATCTATAGAAAGATCTACTTTGATCAGCCTACTTGGCATCATTAAGGTCAAATAAACCTATATACAAAGGATAGGAACTTCACACCTCACACTTCTCTCGCTCCTTGTGTGATCTCAGTTGTGTAGGCATTATTAAAAAAGCAAACAGTTTCCATAAACCCAAAAACTATTTTCTTAATTCATAATCAAAGAATTACAGAATCTTTTCAACTGTTTTAAATAGCAGGTGAGCATAAGCAGACTTACATGGAACTCTGAAATTCTGAACATTCCCTGGAGGTTCATTTAAATATTCAGATAATTTGATACTGCTTTCAGAGTATAAAGATAAACCAACTCAGACAGCCAGTGTAACTAGACCAGCCAAGCTTTCTCTTTCCTGGTTTT